GATCTTGAATATACAGAGATTAAAATAAGTGCAAATATACGTTGTGTAGCTCACAATCGGTCACATTTATATTGATTAACAAACTTTGGTATTTCACAAATAGTTGGGAAAATAACGTCTTGAAAATAGCCTGATTTTCTTAAACATGCAGCTCCCAAAGAATGTTAACATGGATGTTATCTTGAATATACGCGATTAAAATAAGTCAAATATTAGTTGTAGCTGCAATGGTTCCTTCATAATTGATTAACAAACTTTGGTATTTCACAAATGAGTTGGGAAAATAACGTAGTTTGCAACCACACATACAAACTATTTCCTGAAAATTCCGACAGATGTATCTGCTTGTAATAATTAAAATGCATATAACTCGAAAACTAATTAGCATTTAAATGATTAAACTAGAGTAATAACATTACATTTGTTCATGCACCATCTTAAAATGTTTGTTTATTTAAATTAGAACGTTTTTAACTAAATGGTTTTTATGCAGCGCCAAAATGCTTGAACTACAACCTTTGAAACATTGCTAACAGATGGAGCTGGAAGTAACACAATTTGTGATATTTATTTAGCGCCTAAAGTGCAGACAACCGAACATACATATTCACATTGTGGAACAAATAGGAAAACAACGTGTTAGATAATGGCCTGTATTTTCGTAAAAATGAGCTCCCAAAAGAATGTTACACTTTTAAGTTGATCTAGAATTTACACTGATTAAGATAAGTGCAAATATTAGTTTGTAGCTGCAATGGTTCCTTCATAATTGATTAAAAAACTTTGGTATTTCACAAATGAGTTGTAAAAATAACGTTTTCGTAAATGGCCTGTATTTTCTTAAACATGCGCTCCCAGAAGAATATTATACATGAATGTTGATCTTGAATATACACTGATTAAAATGACCGTAAATATTAGTGTGTAGCTGCAATGGTTCCTTCATAATTGATTCTTATTTTAATCGCGTATATTCAAGATCAACATCCATGTATAACATTCTTCTGGGAGCTCATGTTTAAGAAAATACAGGCCTTTTCGAAGACGTTATTTTCCCAACTCATTTGTGAAATACCAAAGTTTGTT